TACATTTCCCAGTCTTGCCTGCGCTCGTGTTCGCTGGAGTTCTGATTATGAACACCTGGGCCACCTTAAGATTGAAGGACCTCCCACACGTCACTCCGATGCAAAGTATACATTCAGCAACCACGGCTCTGTGTGATACTAAGCTCCACTAAATGGGCGTTTTCCGTTTGTCTACAATTTCCGCTTCACTCCCGTTACGCTTACACTTCTTCGCTAACTCGTTAGCTCCTTAGCTACCTATTGTCTACTATTTAATGCAGCTACTCACTTCCTCCGTTTGCCTGCGTTTGTCTCCGTTCCTGCAAACGTTACAGAATACTTTGTCGTGATATGGAGGCAGCGGGCACTGAGTACTGAGTACGCGGCATCGCGGAACGTTATGTTGGCTTCAGCATCATAATCCGACAATCTCCTGGATGGACAAGCAGATTACGCATTGGTCACCTTACTGCCGAAACAGTTGTTTAAGAGGGCCCACGGTGCCATTAGCCACCACAACGATAGAGAGCCTCCTGGCGTCCATTCCTAGTCAAATTCCTCCCGAATACCATGACCAGGAGGTGTTCAGTAAGACCAGGGCCAGTTGTCTCCCACCTCATAGATCAAATGGCTGTGCCATAGATTTACTTCCTGGAGCCGATCTGCCATGAGGTTGGGTTTACCCCTTATCTCAAACTGAGCAGCAAGCTATGGAGGAATATATCCGAGAAACTCTTCAACAGGCTTCCACATCCCCAGTTTCGGCAGGGTTATTTTTTGTTGAGAAGAAGGGTGGGGGCCTACGCCCATGTATTGATTATCGAGCCCTCAACCAAATCACGGTAAAGTATAAGTATCCACTACCTCTGGTCCCTTCAGCCTTGGAGCAACTGCGTTCTGCCACAATATTCACCAAGCTGGACCTTCGCAGTGCATACAATCTCATCTGCATCAGAGAGGGAGTTGAGTGGAAGATGGCCTTTAGCTGCACTTCCATATGGTCATGCCATATGGGCTTGCTAACGCCCCATCGGTGTTCCAAAACCTCGTTAATGATGCTCTGAGAGACATGCTGGGAAGGTACGTGATAGCATACATTGACGACATTTTGATTTATTCGACCTCCCCAGAGAAACATGTCCAACATGTCCGGAGTGTGCTGCAACGCCTCCTGAAATACAGTCATGGATGAAATTATTAGCACCCCTGGAACTTTTCCAAAAAATGCACCATTTCTCCCAGAAAAGTGTTGCAATGACAAATGTTTTGGTATACACATTTTTATTACCTTTAAGTGCATTGGAACAGCACAAAAAGCAGAAGAAAAAAGGCAAATTTGACATCATTTTACACAAAACTCAAAAATTAGGTCGGACAAAACTTAATATTGGCACCCTCAACTTAATATTTGGTTGCACACCCTTTGGAGAAAATAACTGAAACCAATCGCTTCGTATAACCATCAACAAGCTTCCTACACCTCTCACCTGGAATTTTGGACCAGTCTTCTTTTGAAAACTGCTCCAGGTCTCTCAGATTTGAAGGGTGCCTTCTCGCAACAGCAATTTTGAGATCTCTCCATATGTCACGTATCCGGAAACTCTGGACTCCATTTCCCATCAGCCACTGCACTACACCACATGACCACATGCGCCACCACATGCACCTGATTCATGTTTTTGTTAATGAGCACTCATGTGTATTTATAGTCTTTGTCTGCACTCTCTCCTTGTCTTTTGTTGTCGTAGATTCACGTTGTTTATGTCAGTGTCTTTGTCTCATGCCACAGAGTTGTTGCCAAGTTGTCTTTGTTTCATAGTCTGTTTGTTTGTTATTAAATATTTAAAATCTGTGATTGCTTCTGCCTCAACCTTCCAAGCGTTACAGAACAAAAGACCATTTTTTTCAGAAGCAGCAGACTTCCCTCCCCTGTCATGGCTGTCGCCCCATCTCCTATTGGACTCAAGGATTCCCCTCTGTTCGGCTACCTCAAGGATTCCCCTCTGTTCAGCTACCTCAAGGTCGCGCAGCCGGCGTGTTCAGTGGAGGATGTCTCTCTGCCGCCCCGCTATGTGAGAGAGGACGTTCCATCTCCTAGCGGACTCAAGGATTCCCCTCTGTTCAGCTACCTCAAGGATTCCCCACTGTTCAGCTACCTTAAAGTGCCTCAGCCTCCCTGTTCAGCTGAGGTCGTCGCTCAGCCTCCCTGCTCGGCTGTGGACGTCGCTCAGCCTCCCTGCTTGGCTGTGGACGTCACTCAGCTTCCCTGCTCGGCTGTGGACGTCGCTCTGCCTTCCTCCTGCTCGGCTGAGGTCATCGCTCGGCCTTCCTGCTTGGCTGCGGTCGTCTCTCTGCCATCCTGCTTCGCTGAGCACGTCACTATGCCTCCATGTTCCGCTGAAGACGTCGCTCCTTTCCTTCCCTGCGCTCAGTGTGTCGCTCCCCCTTCCTGCTCCACGGAGGACGCTGTTCCCCCCTCATGCTCCACGGAGAGCGTCGTTCCTCCCGTGAGCCTCGCGGAGAACCTCGCTCCCCCCGTGAGCCTCGCGGAGAACCTCGCTCCCCCCGTGAGCCTCGCGGAGAACCTCGCTCCCGCGAGCCTCGGGAGAACCTCGCGCCCCCCGTGAGCCTCGCGGAGAACCTCGCTCCCCCGTGAGCCTCGCGAGAACCTCGCCCCCCGTGAGCCTCCGAGAATCTCCCCCGTGAGCCTCGTAAGGTACTTCGCTCCCCCCTTGAAACTCGTGGTGAAGCCTGCTCCGCTCTCCTATCCCATGCGGGACGTCACCCCGCTTTCATGCTCTGCCAGGGACGTCCCCCTGCCCCCCTGTGCCATTGTGGAAGCTGCTCGGCCTCCTGGTTTTGCTGGGAACTTTTTGCCCAGAAGGCCGGGACCTCCAGATGGTGGACCTTTGCCTTTGGGCGCTCCGGGAGTAGCGCCCTTGGGGGAGGGTTCTGTCACGTATCCGGAAACTCTGGACTCCATTTCCCATCAGCCACTGCACTACACCACATGACCACATGCGCCACCACATGCACCTGATTCACGTTTTTGTTAATGAGCACTCGTGTATTTATAGTCTTTGTCTGCACTCTCTCCTTGTCTTTCGTTGTTCACGTTGTTTATGTCAGTGTCTTTGTCTCATGCCACAGAGTTGTTGCCAAGTTGTCTTTGTTTCATAGTCTGTTTGTTTGTTATTAAATGTTTAAAATCTGCGATTGCTTCTGCCTCAACCTTCCAAGCGTTACACTATAGGTGTTCTATGGGATTTAGATCTGGACTTATTGAAGGCCACATCAGAATTCTCCAGCGCGTTGTCTCTAACCATTTCTGGGTGCTTTTTGAGGTATGTTTCGGGTCATTGTCCTGCTGAAACACCCATGACCTCTGACGCAGACCCAGCTTTCTGACACTAGGCCCTACATTATGGGCCAAAATCTTTTGATAGTCTCCAAATTTCATGATTCCTTGCACACAGTCAATGCACCCAGTGCCAGAGGGAGCAAAACAACCCCAAAACATCCTTGAACCTCCACCATGTTTGACTGTAGGTACTGTGTAGGCCTCTTTTTGTTTTCTGTAAACAGTAGAATGATGTGCTTTGCCAAAAAGCTCTACCTTAGTCTCATCTGTCCACAAAATGTTCTCCCAGAAGGATTGAGGCTTACTCAGGTACATTTTTGCAAACTGCAGTCTGGCTTTTTTATGCCTCTGTTTCAGAAGTGGGGTTCTCCTTGGTCTCCTGCCATAGCGCTTCTTCTCATTCAGATGACGACGTATGGTTCGAGCTGACACTGAGACTAAGTCTGCAGGAAAGCCTGAATTTGTGTGGACGTTGACTGAGGTTGTTTATCCACCATTCGAACTATCCTGCATTGCATTCTTTCATCAATTTTTCTCTTCTTCTTTTTTTGCACAATTTTGCTTCTTAAGTCCTCAGACAATTCTCGGCTCTTCTTTCTCTTCTCCATGCTTGGTGTGGCACACACAGGCACACAACACAAAGGTTGAGCCAACTTTTATACACTCTAACTGGCTTCAGTTTCGATTTCTATATTTTTATGATTTCTTGATTTCTATATTTCTATATTTTTCAGTTTTGTTCTATAAGAAATGTGAACAAAAATACACTTTTAATGTTAAGCTGTGTACATTTTTAAGTAAACTACTCTGGTTAATGACGTCAGTATGTGTTGAGGGACACGGTGGATAGATTAGGTAGATAAGTTACATAAGCATCTGTTAACTTGCCTAGTGATGGAAAGTGCTCTTTCAGCTCTTCTGCTGGTGATGGAGTACGCTAGTCACACTTATCATTAGTTACTGGGGTGTAACGATACGCTCCGGTCACGATTCAATTCAATTTTCAATACTGACTTCAGGATTTCAATTCGATTCGATTTTTGTCTGTATAAAAGAAAATAAATTAAAACTCCCTATGAACAGAGGTTTAATATTGTTCACAAAATGTACTACAGGTTCATTATATCTTATACATAATTTAATAAATGTATAAATTCTTCCCAATATTTTGACTGAATAAACAAAGTGTCCGACCATGGGGAAAATGTTAATATCATATCGAATATCATATTGCTCTAATAACAGAATATCAGATTTAGAAACAAAAATGGTTGAGTCAGCTACCCGTTATGATGGGGAAAAGTCACAATATATTATATTATTAGAATAAAATCTGAATATTTTAAGAGTAAAATAATACTACGACATAATGGTGCATATCGCAGCAACAAGTTTGTAATATTTAGGCAGGAAGTTCTCGAAAATGTATTCGGTGGAAAACAGTAACATAGCGATTGATGGTAAATGATCACTGAATCATTTGCACAACCAATTCATTAAAACACAGTCATTCATGACTAAAACATGTCTTATTATCCTAAAATGCATGCCTACATATCTACTAAAAGACTTTTTTAAACAGAAACTGTTTAAGCAGCGAGTTTTTCCCTCTCATACCAGATCTAACATTTTTTAAATTAACTTTGTAGAATACACAAGTGGCCATGATGGCTTAGTGTTTAGTGCGTTTGCCTCGCACCTACAGGGTTGTGGGTTCAATTCCCACCAGGTTCTCTGGTTTCCTCCCCCTATGTCCAGGGGGTCCCCTGCCTCATCCCCCTGGAGCTCCAGGCTCCCTGTAACCCTGTGTAGGATAGGTGTTCATAACCTGCAGATATTTTTTTATGTACATGAAATAAGAGGTCCTGCAGGATAGTTTAAGTCTGCAGCAGACCAGCAGTAATGATAAAATCCTGCAGGATACAAGCAAACACTGTAGGGTTTATGTAAGGGGTATTGCCATTCACCCAACACCCCTTAATAATCACTAATTATTATTGATGTCTCTGTGTTAATAATACGTGCAAAAAACTGTGCAGAAACCAACACTTCTCATTAGTCCTGTACTCATACAGAGCAGTGACAGTGTTAGAGGCCTGAGAGCAGAGACCAGTTCACACATTTGGTTTATTTCTATTGTAATGCATTGCTGCAAATTCAGCTGTGAAGAAGTGGAGGAGGTGTGAAAGTGGATGTGTGAAACTAATAAGAAACTTTTAACCGTTGATATGGTGGATAAATTTAACTCCAGCTCTAACCAGCCATTCACCTCCGACCTCACTCATCATCAAGGCATTTATTTGTCTTTGTTTGTTTAATCTTTAGTGCATGTGTTTGTGTGTGTGTGTGTGTGTGTGTGTGTGTGTGTGTGTGTGTGTGTGTGTGTGTGTGTGTGTGTGTGTGTGTGTGAAAATACAAGGAGATTTCAGAAATTTCAGAAATCTTACTAAATGAGTAGGAATTATGCTGCTGTCACATGATTGGCTGATTGGAAACGTGCATGAATGAGCAGGTGTTCCTAATAAAGTGGACAGTAAGACCATAATGCACATTAAATATATTACAGCACTGTTTATTCTTTAATGCAAATGATTTTAATGCTGGTAAATTGAAACATTATATGTTTTATAGTACAAAACTTAAAATTATCGGAACAGTAACTGCAATATCTGTATCAACTAATGTGCAGAAGTGACATGCACACATTCTCTCTCTCTTTCTCTCTCTCTCTGTCTCTCTCTCTGTAAGAACACAGGAAGTGTAACTTTAACACACACCACTGCTCTGTCAGTCAGTCAGTCATTAGAGAGACAAGATGGAGTTCAGTCCACTCGCTGTGATGCTCTGTGAGTAAATGTTCTCTTTGTGTCTTCATTAGAGTGAGTGGTGGGGTATAAAGTTGTTCATCTGCAGTCTGAATGTCCTGAGTGATGAGTTTATTGTGTGATTAGGACATTGTGTGTACTTCAGCATGACTGCTCAGATGGATCAGTGGATCCATATCTGTTATGAGAAGGGTTTAGTTTGATGTGGAACTACTCTCAGTAACTATGATAGTTCAACAGGTAAGAGTACAAGTAGAGCAAGTTTAAAACACAGGGTTTAAATAATCTAATGAGTGTAAATGAGTCTGTATTGTTGGAATCTGTCGCTGATCTTCTGTGTCCTGCTGTCATCTGCTGCTCAGTGACAACCTCTCATGATCATTTGATCTGCTAAAAGAAAATGACTGGATGGTGTTTGTACTTTCACCAATGGAAGTCAGGGTTGTGAATAACTGAAATGTCTTTAGCTGCTGTGGTGAGACTTTGCTGGTGTTTCATGTGCACAGAAAGGTTTAAGAAAACCATGTTAGCATTAACTAGACTTACTGAGAAAACGCCTAATAACCTATAGGATACTGTTTTGTTACTTTTAACACACACACACACACACACACACACACACAAGTATGACACAGTTAGAGGCCTGTGTTGGCTCTTGTAGTTTTACTCTTTTTTTAAGCTCTCAGTGTGAAAGGGGAGGAGGTGTGAAGGGAGATGTGTGAGAGAAGTTTTATTAATGCAGTCGTTCTCATAAATTTGCATACCCCTTGCAGTATCTTCAAAATTTTAAAATAAAAAGGAGGGCAAAAAAATAGCATTTAGTTTTTTTTATTTATTTATTATTTAGTACTGCCCTGAATAAGATACAGTAGGGGTATAATAAGTATTGAACGTGTCAACTTTTTTTTTCTGGAAATATATTTCCAATGAAGTTATTCACATAAAATGTTTACCAGACATCAGTATTAGCTCAAGAAATCCACAAATATTGTCACGCGCCGTGACGTGAAGGAAGCAGGCAGGATGCAATTGCAGACGAACGGTGAGTTTTATTTACAATGTGGCACAACAGAAAGGAAACCAGAAACATAAGGCTATGGCTAAAGCTATAACTAAGGCTATGGCTAAGGCTAAGGCTAAGGCTATGGCTAAGGCTAAAGCTAGAACATGGCATGAAACTAGGATGCTCTATACGTGCTAAACATGGCAAAACAATATATACATATGTCGCTATATACATATGTTGAACCGCGCGGAACATGGCTCCCGGTATAAATAGACTTCCCAGTCCTTAGCACCGCAACCGTTCACAGCTGCGGGCAATTCCAAAACACACGTGACCCTTGACGTCAACCCGGAAGAGGCCCACACATGCGCAACAGCGCTCAACGCTCACAGTTGCACAGGGGAATCATGACAAATATAAAGGATTCACAACACTAAAGTCCATAAAAAATGTATGTGTAATAAAGTGGAATGACATAAGAAAAAAGTTTTGAACACGCTAAGAAAAGGAGGTTCTCCAAACCAAGGTAATGCAAGGAACCAGATGAAATCTGTAAGTAATTATACCTCCTATCTGTGCAAATGAATATCACCTGGGTTGGTAAATTGATGGTCTATAAAAAGGCTTTTCATTACCAAGGTGTCACACAAGAAATATCTCATGACTGGTAAAAGCAAAGAGCTCTCCCAAAACCGTCAAAACCTTTTTGTTGTAAAACATATTGATGGACTCGAATACAGATATTTCAGAACTTCTGAATCCTTCAGTAAGCACCACTGTGGCCATTATCCACAAGTGGAAGCAACATCACTCCGTCATCAACCGAAAACGCACAGGAGCTCCTTGCAAGATTTCTGACCAGGGAGTCAGGAGAATAGTCAGAAGAGTAGTCCAAGAGCCAAGGAGCAATCGGAAAGAGCTCCAGAAACACTTGGAGGCAGTAGGTGCCATCGTCCAGAGAGAACAATAGGGAATGCATTGACAGGTATTGACTTTTGTCGTTAACGGTCATCACCAACTGTCATTATCTTAACAGTTGTAGGTCATCACCAACCGTCATTATCTTAACAGGTATAGGCCATGGGGATTTTGTTTGTTTTCCTTCATGTATCCTGCAATGCACACAGGTCTTTTGGTCAGAAGCAGAGTTCATCCTGCGGTCAGTAACAAGCTCAGACCCAGGAACTGGAACATGAACACCACTGGCTTTCTTAGTAGGGGTTTTCTGTGTCTTCTATGTCACACATCATAGCTGTGCCATGAGCTCCTCAATGAAAGCCTTGTAGGTCATGTTGTCCTGTTGCATGAGTTCTTTGTGGAGAATGTAGGCATTGGTTGCATGTCTAAGAAGTGAAGAAAGAGTTTCCTGTACCATTTCAAGGTTTTGTGCTGTGTAATACTGGATCAACTGGTCTGACAAATGCACATCTTCAAAGAGCTTGTTATATTCTATCACTAGGAGGGACATTGAAAAGACTCTGTGATCCAGACATCCTATCTGGACTTCACTTTTCTCTGTACTGCATCCCCATTATAGGCAGTATGGATGGTAGAGCAGACAGAGACCTCTCGCATGTCCATCCACTTCACAAAGAGAAGAGGGCCATTCCTTGTCCAGCAGTGCACTCCTCTATGTGACTTCTTTGTCAGTGAATTGATAGAACTGCTTGGGCAGTCCCTCCTGGACTCTCTGTATGTTCCACAAAAAACAAACTTGCATGCAATCAAGTCCTTGAAAAGCTCTGGGCTTGTATAGAAATTGTTCATGTACACATGGTACCCAGACTCAAAATACTTACTGTCAGTCAGTGACATCACAGAGTCATAAGAGAGTCCCTGGTATGTGGGGAAGTTGTTCTTTCCAGTGTATACAGAAAAGACCACAGTGTATCAATAGCTCGAGTCTGCAAGCACAAACAACTTGAACCCCCACTTGGTTGGTTTGTCCTTCCTGTACTGTCTTATGGCAGTATGCCCTTTGCAAGGCACCATACATTCATTCATTCAGACAGTTCAAGGTTTCTGGGGATATCAGTTTTATGTTTGTAGGATAAAAACTTGTGGAGATTTTGAGGCGGAAGTGCAAACGTTCTATTTTCTAGAGCCGACCACTAGCTGTTAACAGTTGTAGGTCATCACCAACCGTCATTATCTTACCAGTTGTAGGTCATCACAGTTGTAGGTCATTGTAATCTGTTGTGTTCCCACATCCATACATAGTATGGTCATGTTCATTTCACGTACACACACACACACACACACACACACACACACACACATACATGCAACCAGAAATATGACACACACACACACACACATAAACACATATAAATAAGGATGATGAAAAAATAAACAAATGAATAATAATGAATTTCCATACACATCCAACCAAAACTATGACACACACACACAAACACACACATTCTTTCACATAGAATGTATTAATACATAGTATGGTCATGTGCATTCCACACAGGAGTTCGTCCGTTGACAATGACCGAAGTTTCCATTTCTGCCTCCATTATGGAAAAGAGAGCTTCATGTTTGAAGTGGAAGCGTTTCTATGTACACACAAATGTCCAACAAGCCCTATGTGGGCATGAAATGTGCGACCACAAAGTGGGCAGACTGGTTGAATCCTGTGTTTGTGTATGGGACTTTGGCTTCCAGCTTGCTTTCTGACTTGACACGTCCTTCTTGCTTCATTGATTCTTTTTTCTTCGTAGGCTGCAATTCCTTGTTTCACTTCTTTACGGCAGGCGTTCTGATCTTGTGCAATGTTGAGGTTCTTCATGTTCATTTTCAAAGTTTCCTTGAAGCGTTTCTTCTACCCACAGCGAGATCGTAATCTGGCTACAAGTTCACCATATAGGATATGTTTGGGAAGGCGCACATCCGACATT